TGCCCTATATTTATGAGGGCGGGCTCTCTACTGGGTCTGTGAAGGTTGATAGACTGATAAATAGGATAGACAGACAACAGGACACAGACAGACGCAGATACTGAGAAAGACACAGCCAGATAAACAGATATTAAGGAGAGAAGGATGTGGAAGGGAGGTGGGGGGGGGGGGGGGCGCCCCCCCAGGATGACTGAAGAGAGGGGAAAGAAGAAGGTGAATATTAGAAGAGGCGGAAGAAGAGATGAGGAAGACAGATGAGAGAGGGGGGGAGGAAGAGCGGAGTAGAGATGAGAAGAGGGGAAAGAGAGGTGCGAGAAGTGTGTCCAATCCACTCATATGAAAATGAAGAAAAGATGATGTTTAGGATGTCCATTCCTCAGAACGTCATTGTAACTCATCGTCTGGGAGACGTGAGAGTGAGAGAGAGAGAGAGAGAGAGAGAGAGAGAGAGAGAGAGAGAGAGAGAGAGAGAGAGAGAGAGAGAGAGAGAGAGAGAGAGAGAGAGAGAGAGAGAGAGGGTGAGAAGAGAGGAAAGAATGGAGAGGGGGACAAAAATTTAAGTAAAGGGAGAGAAGGAAGAGTGGAGGAACAGACAAAGAGAGAAAATGAGATTGGGTTGCATGAAAATTAGGCACGGTACAGAAAGAGACCCGAGTGAGGCCGGGTAACACCTCCCTCCCGTTGTGTCCTACATAGCCATACTGGTAGTGTGCATTCTCTTTATAACATATTTTCCTTTTACATTAAAATTCATGACCATTTATGCATTCGTTGCCACATACATCCATTGATACATATGTATATTCATATGTATCTACATAAATGCATCTACATGTATATATATTTTCACTCTCCTTTATTTGTCACGGTCAATTTCAACAGTGGCCGTGGTGGGTACAGGAAGTACTCCCAGGTACAGAAAGTACTCCCAGGTACAGAAAGTACTCCCAGGTACAGAAAGTACTCCCAGGTACAGAAAGTACTCCCAGGTACAGAAAGTACTCCCAGGTACAGAAAGTACACACTGGTACAGGAAGTACTCCCTGGTACAGGAAGTACTCCCTGGTACAGGAAGTACTCCCTGGTACAGAAAGTACTCCCAGGTACAGAAAGTACACACTGGTACAGGAAGTACTCCCTGGTACAGGAAGTACTCCCTGGTACAGGAAGTACTCCCTGGTACAGGAAGTACTCCCTGGTACAGGAAGGCGGTGGTTCGTCCCTCTAATTTTGATGATGAGGTTTTCAGGTTGCACTTTGCAATATTGCAAAATGGCTTCGCCGGATGGGTGATTCCCTGAGTTTGTTGCACCATTGAAAACCTTTTTCCCAGGTAAGGTTTATTCCCTAAAATAAAAATACAATATAAAATGAGATCGGTTAACAACGGTTTTGCTGTTAATTGATATCACATTGTGCAAGTAGACAAGCTCTGTGATCTAATAATAATTTGAGTAAAAACAAAAAATACAATACCAACAAAAAAAAAAAAAAGCTTGAAAGAAAACGCAACAAAAATGTGAGAGAGAGAACGGACTTGTTTATGGACAGGCTCTTATATTATAAATGACCTTACGTGTATTCATAGCGTACAGGGCTAACGAGGCTAACGAGGCGTGAAAAGGTTATGTATACCTCGCCATGTATCAAACAACCCGACGCGTTATTATGCATTCGGGAAGGAAGCAGGTATAGTTAGAGGTAAACGTAAAGAGGAATATATCACATATCTTTGTAACATTTTTATGTTTCAATATATACGTACGTCTATACGAACGTATGTACACGGAGAGAGTATATTCTCGACTTTTCGCTGTATTCATACACCGAGTTCATTCTAGTTTGGAACTACGTTATGTTAAGGACTAAGATATACTTGCCGGCGGGCCAGTGAGCCATTGAGGTGGCCATTATAATCTTCAAGATTTTGACAAGTCTTAAACCCAACTTAAAAAAAAAATCCTGCGATAAAAAGACTGTACACCAAAACGTGTTTCTAATATATAAAGTTTGGATATATAAAGTTAAGTTTAATATATTATTTAATATTAATTAATATTATCTAATATATAAAGTTAAGTTTAATTCCAATTAAATGGTGAATAAGTTCAGTAAGGGACCCCCCCTTTTTTCATGACCTTTCAGTGGTTTCTAGGCCTTAAATCCAACTCTACAGGGTGCCAAAAAAATAAAAATGATTGAACACTGATTATTAACCAGAAATAACCAGGATTTTTTTTTAATGAAAATTCTCATAAATGTAAGTTCTGCTCAGCTACTCTCTATAATTATAGTATGTTACAAGTGTGATCATTGATCCTCAATATTGGCTTGTACATTTCGAACATCAAAAATAATGGTATATAGAAATGAGACTCATTTTCCATTTAGGTTTTGTTAGCGGGCAGGACTCGTGAATGCAACATAACCCAAATTGATCAATCTTACCCAAACACCCAAATCCAGCATATCTAACCTTAGTCAACAACCTAAACCCAGCCAACCTAATCTACCTATCACTTAACTTGTCCAACAAGCCTATCGAAACCCAACAAGCCTAGCCATACTAAATCAACCTAACCCTCGACCAATTTTACCAATGTTCTGTTTATTATAATTATTCATAATTTTTCCTTTGTCGTTATTGATATAATGCATAAACCTCTAGTTTTCATTTATTGCCGGAAACAACTTTCTTCTAAAACCATCTTCTAATTCAGAAGTTATTAATAACATTCTAATGATAAATGATAATTACAAATAGAAACTGCATATTGGAAGGGAGAGAAGGAGCTAGGAAATGAGAGGAAATTCTAAATAAGAGAAGACAGTAGGAATAATGGGGAGTAAGAGAGGAGGGAGAGGAGAAGTAAAGAGAGAGAGAGAGAGATAGAGAGAGAGAGAGAGAGCAGCTGTGTGAGAAGAAGGTAAAACGAGAATTGGAAAAGAGAAAAAGTTAGAGGAGAGAGATATGGTGGGTGTGAAGAAAGGTAGAGAAGAAGAAGAATAGTGTTATGGAGAAAGGGAGGTAGGGAAGAGAGGAAGTGTTGTGGAAAAGTAGTTAAAAAGAGTAATGTAGTGGTAAGGGAGGCAGGAGAAAGGGATAATGATGTGGAAACGCAAGCAGGAAAAAAAAGTAGAGTTTTGTGATAAATAAAGATGACGTTGATAAATAATATTATAAGTAAAGGATGGAAAACAAGGAAGGCATTTTTATGAGGAATAAGAAAAAATATGGAATGGGAAACATATTAATCGAGGTGGAAACAAAAGAGAGAGAAGGAAAGGAAGAAAGAGAATGGAAATATAACAAATTTGAAGTTTCTAGGTGGAATATTAAAGGTTTCGATTTTTTCATTAAAATAAGCGTACTGCTTGGATCCTCAGTAATTAACCGTAGCAAAAGAGCTTTACCAGAGCTCATTGCTGATTAATTTCCTCTGATGAGATCACAAATTTATTAATTCATTATTTCCTCCTTTTCCCAAAATATCCTCTGATTAATATATTTTCAAGGCTCAAGTTGTAACGTTTTACATACATTAATTTTTGTATGATTTTCCCAATTTTGCATAATTTCTGCATAATTTTGCATTCATTAACATTTGCACGATTTTACATACATTAATAATTTTTCGACTTCTAATTTACACATTTTATAATTTTCATCCAGATTTCAATCTCAATCTCACTCACTCAATCTCACTAACTCTACATTTATGCACTTTATTTCCTGTCCAGTTTAGAATTTCCAAAAATTAAATCTAGTCATTATGAAAGGGGAAATAACACGACATTGCCTCGTCCATACATATGTCAAAGGCTATAATCTTTTGACAACCTGACAGAGGGCAGCTAGAGCCAAGACCTAGAGGCTGAGATTCACCCTCCTAGACCCAGGAAGGATTGTGATTAACACTATGTATGCGAGGTGCGTGAATGGTCGATGATGTCCTTTAGCATCCAGTGACCTGTAAATATTGGAGAATTGCCACGGCGTGTCGTCTTCACGAAATGGGAAATTGATCAATACCCCAAAAGAACACTAATGGCCTAGAGATCAATGCTGTCTTGATCATGCCACAATATGGTAAATAATCATGACTTGGAAATAGGAGAACGACTTTGGAAACTATCTCCAGCATTTAAGGAAATTCGAAGAAAACAAAATACTTGAAAAAATATTCACGAACTACAAATGAATTCGACCAAGAAAAATACTACGTAATCCCGAACATTTTCACTGACTAGATAACAAATATTGGCATTGAGAAATTAACAGACCAGAACTTAAAATTGGCCATGGGAACCAGGGATACCATAAGCAACAAAAAGAAAAACAATGATGCTCTGCAACACTAATTCTCTAGGCGACAATGCCAGAAATGAAGGCGCTGATTAATGAAGCAGCCACCAACCACTTTCCTCAGCCTAACCAATGCAGACTTAGCACAGTTCAAGACTTAACGCGAAGGAACTATACTATGCACAAATTGATTGATTGATAAAGATTAAGCCACCCAAGAGGTGGCACGGGCGTGAGTAGCCCGTAATGTCACCTCTCACCTCACCTCCACCATCACCGTCTGCTCGTGACACCTCACTTGTCATATAACATTCACCGGCCGCACCCCAAACAGAAACCCCGCCCCTGTGCCGGGCTCACCATAGCCCGTGCTACTTGGAACTATTTGTTCCACGTAGCGAATCATAAACAACAACAACCCCAAACATCAGCTACCGTCTTCCTGTGCGTTTCAAAGGCTATGAGCATTAAAAGAACTGTATAGCGTTTATTAAATTTTATTGTTCATAGGTATTTAATTTCAATCTTGAATTAAAGCTAATAATTTCACGTTGCATTACCTAATATATTAATTCATAATCATTTATATTTCACGAATTATAGCTTATATTATATCCAAAAATAATTGAGCCCTCCCCCTCTCCCCCATAGCATTTTACAGAGAAAAAGATGAAAAATAATTGCAACAGCTTACCTGGAGTAAGTGAAGATGAGGACAACGAGAGGAAGAAAGTAGTGGAGGACCATAAGCGCCATAGTGTAGTATTTCCGAAGTGCCTCATCCGGCCACTGTTCCCGGCACACCTCCCGTCCTGACGACTGGTAGATCCGCATGTCTGCGGCAGAAAAAAGGTTGTGTGTGTGTGTGGGCAATTATCTCCTATCTTCTATCCGAGAAGATAGAGTATGGTGGAAATGAGTGTTAAGGAAAAACACCAGTAGTTTCATACGAATATATATATTTTCTATGAAATTACTGTGAAATTAGTGGGACTATGAATTCGTGGGATGATTTCTATTCGCTACTATGATTTCCACTGTGCCTCATACTACTATGATTTCACCGTGCGTTTTACTAACATCAGTTTATCATGCACCATTTGACCATGAATAATCACACGCCATACTGCCAAATGTGGGATGATGGGTGTTTGAAATCTTTGGCGTGTTCCGTTCCTCGGTGCAGAAACATCTACAAAAAATGCTGTTATTGGAAGAGGTGACACACAAGTGTACATGCAGTCAATCCCTCGTTAAGAACTAAAACCCAAGTTATTGTTGAAACATAATAGATAAATTGCGTTTACCAGGAACCAATACGCTTGCATTGTTGGTAACCTCTCTACGTAATCCAAGTACAGTATTCCTCAAGGCTTACAGTTAATTCCTCGTGGTTTAAGGATTAACTACCATGCAATTTGGTGAGCAGTTTCAGGGCACAATGAAAATAGTTTCAGCTGAGTTACGCTCAATCATTTTCATACCGAGTTACAGGTTAACTTGCCCTTTAGTTTACCTCAGGTTGTAGAATCGGTTACGGACGCGAGGTAGAGTGAATCGGGAAGATGTGGGCAGCTGTGTATGTAGCCTCTCACTGTATACCAACACGAGAACTTTAAGAGAACTTTTAGTATACTGTATAGCACAGCGCGAGAAATAATCCACCCCATCATCGCCCTATTCTTATGCATTAAAAGAAATGTTTCACGAGCTTCCTGCATTACCAGATTGCGACGCTCTTTAAAAAAAAACAAAGTGGAGATATTATAGCAAATAGTACACATTTTCCGAGCCATTTGTTTCCAGAGGATTTTAATATGAAATACACAACCTTCAATGTGTTATAGGAAAAGATCTAGCCACTTGATTTAGTTCGGATTGAGAAGGAAAATCAACATTTCGTTAAGAATGTTCGTGTGACAGCTTGTGTTAAGGTGAAGACAGGTAGGTGACGAGAGATGCCGGTCAAGAGGGTCATGTGGTCAATAAGTTAATTAACGAAGATGAGGTACAGAGGCGAGAAGGATGTGATCTGGAAAGGAATATGAAGAGAGAAGAGTAAGCGTATGTGGAAGGGAAAGGGACACGGGATAAGAAAAAAGGTCATTAGTAATAATTGTCATAATCCACTGGCAAGGCGTGTCCGCCTCACCACACACACACACACACACACACACACACACACACACACACACACACACACACACACACACACACACACACACACACACACACACACACACACACGGGGCCTCGTAGCCTGGTGGATAGCGCGCAGGATTCGTAATTCTGTGGCGCGGGTTCGATTCCCGCACGAGGCAGAAACAAATGGGCAAAGTTTCTTTCACCCTGAATGCCCCTGTTACCTAGCAGTAAATAGGTACCTGGGAGTTAGTCAGCTGTCACGGGCTGCTTCCTGATGTGTGTGTGTGTGGTGTGAAAAAAAAAAAAAAATAGTAGTTAGTAAACAGTTGATTGACAGTTGAAAGGCGGGCCGAAAGAGCAAAGCTCAACCCCCGTAAAAACACATCTAGTAAACACACACACACACACACACACACACACACACACACACACACACACACACACACACACACACACACACACACACACACACACACACACAAACACACACACAGTCTGCAGATATGGTCCCCAAGCCTTAAATCACTTACGAAATCTACGACCCGCCCGGGATTCGAACCTCCGTTGCCTGGGATCACCCCCCTCCCCCTCACACCCTGGCTAGCGCTGCAGCTAGGCTGATAGAGCGACCTCCTTCCGTACATGGAGGTCGATGGTTCGAGGCTCCTAGGGGCCCAGGTGAAGGAATTGTTATTATCCACGTATATTGTGCTTGGTAACTTGTATATTAGTGTTTTTACACAAGTAATTACCAAAGATCCCACGTTACAGCTTCTAGGCATCAATATATATATATAAAGCCACCGTAAATGCATTGTCGTTCGTCAGATGTTGTTCCTTACAGCGATCGTTGAGAGTTTACGATCCACGAAATTGCTTCAAATATTTCCTATAAAGAAAACGCCGATATTGGAAAGCTGCATTGCCAAAAGTGGGAGAGAACTACACCGAATAAGGTTCTTGGTGAGAGAATGAACATAAATGGCCCTTTCATTGCAAGCGGAATTGATTACAATTGCAACTTGTTTCTCTTTTACGTGAATTGTATTGTAATTCTTTTTTAAAGTCGAGGAAAAATATATTATTGGTAATGTAATTTTTTTTTGTTTCTGAGAATTTATGGTGTATTCATCTAACTGTAATCCCCTTGATATGCCTGCAGGGTCGAGCTGCAGTTCCTGAGCGCGTCCTTCTCAACTATGGGCAGATTTACTGTACACCTGTATGTATAGTTTGCTTCATTGATATCAAGAGCTAATAATCCTTGCTTCTTGTCTCCAACTTGTATGCAGATTTGGTTTCCCTGACATCACGAAGGCTAATTTAGATAATGATTAAACCACACACCAGAAGATGAGGCGACGCCCACGACGTTTCGGTCCGTCCTGGACCATTATCAAGTCGAGGATTTACACAAACACACACACACACACACAATCGACTTGATTATGGTCTTGGACGAATCGAAACGTCGTCGTCGTCTCCTCATCTTCTGATATGTGGTTTAGTCATCATGTCTTCAGCCACGTTATTGTGACTCGTCGTCTAAATTAGTTCACATCCATGTCCTTTCGTTCAGCTGTTTCTCGCTCCGAACATTTGGCCATCCACTTGGAACGATCGGTACAAAGATGACCTAATATTTCTTGCATGGCCGATCCCCATTATCCAAGTGGTTGGTATTGTTCATTTACTTCATCCTCATAACCAAACGCTTTGTCCTCATCTTACTTCCAAGTGATGCATAGTCACTCTGGCATCGCACTTTCTCCTGATAATTAACTTAACTATAGCTTCTTTGTCCACTTTTTTCGACTCCTTAGATAATTCATCATGATATGTCGTGTTCCACGTTCTTCTACAGGAAAGAGAGATTCAGGTCTTTGAAACTTTCACTAGTTAATTCCTCTAAATTCTCGAACACGTTTTGTTTCATATTTCTACTTTTCCCTCTATGTTTGCTATGTATTTTTTTATGTAAATCTTCCGTGCCAAGACTGTCCAGAATCGCAAGAGAAATGCACATAATTTTGCATAGGGAACGGAAATGTCATTAAAATAGCGTCTCTAGCATTAAGGTTTGGGGCCGTGTCGATTTGAAGCCTTTCTTGGTTGCTCTTGATTCTTGTCTCATTAAAATTGTCTGAAGAAAATTGTCTCATTTGCATTATATTTTGCTCCTTGTTTCTTTCTGCCAATGCTTCTACATTCTTAACTCTGAAGTTTTCGTTGTTAATTTATAATATCGAGTTTCAGATCATTTCTGAAGACTATTTGAATCCTTTTGTATTATTCCAGTCTGTTTTCGTCATGACCTACGAATAAAACTTGCAATCATAGTCTCCTTGGCCAAGTTTTTAAATATAAAATACAAAAGACTTTATGGATTAAAAATTAAAATACTTTTAAGCAGAAATTTACAATTACCCCCCCCCCCTTTCTTCCTAAAATTTCCTAACCATAACACACTGGGTTACCAGGCCACCTTTACCAAAAATCCGAGCACTCTACACAAAAATATTTCCTGAACTTACTGTCCACTGAGATCAACAATTATTTTTAATAGCCTGCCATCTACAGCCACTGTTCTCGTATCAAGCAGGAGAGCGATTCTTGTCTCTTTGTCTCCCCGTCACTTTGGTCTACTACGTGGCCAAAGTGATGAGGCCAAAGCCAAAGATGATCTCTTTGCCCACGTGGCTTTGCGCGGTGGTTATCACTAACCTGAGATCTGGTCACAAATCTCAGGTGTTATTAGATTTGCTTCCTGCTCCTAGGCACAGTGATTCAGGTCTTGGCTTGGCTGTGACCTCACCTCAAGTATTGATGTATGACCTATGAGCCCTGATGTTAACAGTACGGTCTCTGACGAATGTACTGCCGGAGGTGACAAGTGAGTACTACGGATTCTGATGAACACAAATGAGGGAAATTATGGACCTTAATGTGTGTAAGACCGATTCTTACGTGTGTATAATGGGTTCTGGTAGGCACACTACGAGCGCTGATGTATGCTTTATGGGCTGTAGCGTGTGTGTGTGTACTCTCAGATGTGTACTACAGGTGCAGATATATGTACTACGGGCCCCTCACATGTCTATAACTAGCCTTTATGTTGGTACAGGCTTGTATATGTGTAATGCGACATGCCACGTGTTAACAACAAGCCCTATTACGTGTACTATGGACCCTCGAGCTTGTACTACGAACCCGTCATGTGTGTACTACTATGTACTACTGAAGTATGTACTACTTCATTATAATGCTGTTATAATTATAACTTCGTCATTTGAAAAAAAAGCACAATGGATTTTGGTGAGATATGTAAATACAGTAGGGTACGACCGTAGACTTTATTTAAAATTTTATAATTGTTAAATGATTAAATGACTATCCCTCCCGTAAGATGGGCATTGTTTAGCATCACGTAGCCGATTGTAAATAATCTTCATATAGTCTAGGGAAACTGCAAAAAATACCCTAGACCATATGAAGGGTAGACCCTTCATATAGTCTAGGGTAGCTGCTAAAATTCAGGCGAACCTAAATATGTTAATAAAAATTTAGTTAAAAGTAAATACAGAAGAACTTAAATGGATTAAAAAATAAAACTGACTTTGTAACATGTATTAAGTGTAACTAGGCTTCCATTTCTGTTAGAACAATATTGATCCAAACATTCAGGTATTATTTGAGAGAAATTACAGACTCCCAAATGCCTAAAAGCATAGAATAAGAAACAATAATTTATTTAGATCTGATATCATATGTATACAGGCAGCACACTAGTCAGTGCGACAAAGAGATTGACAGGATCAGGTTGGGTTATCTTTGCCTGTGGCAGGTGACCACAAGTGACGAATCTTTAAATCTTGAGCACTCCTATGCAAATTCTGTAAACAAGACCTAGGTCATAATCTCACACAATATTATTGAACGTCCAGCCATTAGACTCTTCAGACCCGTCAGTATGAGGTATTTGCAGCTTTTAAATTTCTGTGTTCACTCTCACGATCTTCAAGAAATCTCATAATGCATTCAAAGACTGCCAGTGCAAGATTCTTATCACATGGTCCTGTTTGACTTACAATCCTGCGAAATGGGGAATGTAGTACACCATAACTAGTCCTTGGCAAACCAATGCAACCCTTACACACAGAAATCACAATAGCGTGATGCATCAAATGAACAAATCCACAAGGGCCGTGACGAGGGTACGAACCTACGTCCAGGAGGATCCCAGACGCTGCCTTAATCGACTGAGCTACGACATGATTTGTTTATATCCAACCCTTCATATAGCAACCCGTCCTCCTAAAAGACCGTCACATTTTGATGCATACTTTACGTAAGGTCAAAAATCGTCGAAATGGAAAATGGTAGCGGCTCGCGAAATTGACATACTTTACCGTTTTCTGTTTTGGGTCCTCTGGTAGGTTAGGAGAGGGCACTTTAGTACGACAGTTTCTTGACGTTGAGAAACTTTAGAAGGGCGGGCTGCATATATGCTCGGGTAGTTGAACTAGTGCACATATACCTACACATGTTAATATTAGTTTTTGCAGCAGTTTTTGTCTGGACTAAGACTGTTTATATTTCCTTTTGTATTATATTATTGTTAACATTATTATTATTACTATTAATGAGAAAATCAGCTGGAACCATGAGGAGGATTCCAATCTTGACCTTCATGCAGGTCGGCGTTCAATCCCCGACCGTCCAAGTGGTTGAGTACGATTCCTTTCCCCCGTTCCATCCTAAATTCTTATCCCGATTTCCCAATGTTATATAGTCTTAATTGCTGAGCGTTTTCCCCTGGTATTGTATGTATGGACCATGATGTGCGGAAGATATGAATCACACACACACACCCATACCTGAAGCGGGACGCACGCACTGTGAGGCGGGACCAAAGAGCTAGAGCTCAACCCCCACAAGCACAACTAGGTAAGAACACCTGGACTGCACCTGAATGCACATCAGGAGCGATTAAACAACTTTGTGACACAACATCACCATCGGTTCTGTGAAGGCAAATCATGCCTCACAGGACTAATTTAATTCTATGACCAGGCAAGACACAAATCAGGCAAGAGAGAGAGGGCTGGTCAGACTGCATATTCTTGAATTGCCAGAAAGCCTTTGACACAGTACCACATAAGAGACAAGTGCACAAACTGGAGATGCAGGCAGGAGTGAAAGGGAAAATACTCCACTAGATAAGGGAGTACCTAAGCAACAGGACACAGCGAGTCACTGTGAGGGGTGAGGTCTCGGAGTGGCGAGGAGTCACCAGTGAAGTCCCGCAGGGATCAGACCTTCGACCTATACTGTTTCTGATATACGTAAATGATCTCCCAGAAGAAGTAGACTCGTTCCTCTCAATGTTTGCTGATGATACAAAAATTATGAGGAGGATCAAGATAAAGGAAGATAGTACGAGGCTACAAGATGATCTAGACAAACTGAAAGAATGGTCCAACAAATGGCTACTAAAGTTCAACCCAAGTAAATGTTAGGTAATGAGACTAGGAGGAGGAAACAGGAGGCCAGACACAGGATACCGAATGCGAGATGAAGTCCTTCACGAAACGAACAGAGAGAAAGATCTAGGAGTTGGTATCACGCCAAACCTGTCTCCTGAAGCCCACATCAAAAGAATGACATCGGCGGCGTATGCGAGGCTGGCTAACATCAGAACTGCCTTCAGAAACCTGTGTAAGGAATCCTTCAGAACCATTTTGTCCACCACATATGTAAGACCAATCCTGGAGTATGCGGCCCCAGCATGGAGCCGTACCTTGTCAAGCACAAGACGAAGCTGAAAAAAGTTCAGAGGTATGCCACTAGAATAATCCTAGAACTAATTGGCATGAGTTATGAGGAAAGGCTGTGTGAACTGCACCTCACGTTACTGGAAGCCAGAAGAGCTCGGGGAAACATGATCACCACATAAAAAATTATCCTGGGAATTGACAGGGTAGACAAGGATTGACTATTTAACACGAGCAAGGTAAAGCAAGTGGAAACTGAGTACCCAGATGAGCCAGAGAGATATTAGAAAGAACTTTTTCAGTGTCAGAGTAGTTAACAAATGGAATGCACTTGGAAGTGATGTGGTAGAGGCAGACTACATTCATAGTTTCAAGTGTAGATGTGATGGAATCCAGTAGGCTCAGGAATCTGTGTACCTGTTGATTGACGGTTGAGAGGTGGGACCAAAGAGCCAAAGCTGAACCCCCTCAAGCACAACTAGATGAGTACAAACACACACACACAAACACACACACACAGTAAAACAAGGTCCAGGAGCTAACAGATCGATCCTGTAAGCACAATTAGTAAAAAGACGCGCACACATATGCGCACACAAACATACACTGAAACATAGTAAAATTTTCCAATGAATACCGATAGATACAGGAACATTTGTGAAGCATTGAAATTTAAATGAGATACAGAATATTTTTTAAGCGTAAGATTAGTATAACAAAAGAATGAAAAAGAAGACAAGGTAGCAGGAAACCATCTCCATCAACAGTTTTGACAAATATTATAAGAAAGATTTAGTGAGGGAATTAATGTCTTAGGCGACCAATGACTAGAAAGGCGAGATACAAGAACTGAAGCCTGATCCTGCAGGTACAAACAGGTTAGTACGTACGCTTCACACACGTCAAGGAACCTCTCTCACGCTCCTTACATTATATATTCTATTAAAATATAAGAGCTTTATACGCAGAGCTTCAGAGACATAATATTAAAGGCTCCTCAGCCGAGCCGCACGACCTCACACCCAACATTGCTTGAATCCCTCTCATTAAGGCAGTTTACTCATATATCGCAGAATCTCTCGCTAGTGGGTCAGGAAATCCTACTTCTCCCCGGCTCATTATGCCTGCTTTCGTCCCGTCATCAGAGCAAGAACCTGAGTCAACGTTCCCTTGGGACGGCAAGCTTGGATCACGGCATTTGACAAGTGAGCCGGAAATGAAAATCTGCTTTCTTTTAAAAATCATAAATACAGTATTATGGTTTCGTTAGCAAGTTTTAAGGATTGATGGTGGTGAGAGAGAATTTACTTTATGAATGTTTGGAATGGAGAGAAAGCGAGAAAGAGAGAGAGAGAGAGAGAGAGAGAGAGAGAGAGAGAGAGAGAGAGAGAGAGAGAGAGAGAGAGAGAGAGAGAGAGAGAGAGAGAGAGAGAGAGAATGGGTGGGAGGAATATGAGGTTAAGAATAATTTGGAACAGTAGTACTACTAAGAATATAAATCGTATGTAATCAAAATAAAGGCAGACAGATGAAAAGAAAATCTTACAGACACATTGAGGCAAAATATTTGTTTCAAAAGAGTCAGCTTGAGTAAAAAGATACTCAGGCTTGTTCGCATTTGTGTTCCTCACGTGTGCCCCAAAGAATGAGGTGATTTGATAAAATACCATGCCCAAGATTACCATCAGAGTGCCGGCGGGATGATGGGGAATTAGACTCGGCTACCATCATCTTTGTCCGGTCGTGATGGTCGAGTGGTTAAGGGGTCCTGTACACCAGTTGAAAAGTGCTCCTGGTAGTATGGGTTCGAGTCCCTTCTGGGGTGTGAGTTTTCAGTTGCATATATGCTTGGGGACCATTCAGGCTTGTTCGCATATATATAAGATCCGGTAGTGACAATAATGATTACTATAAATCATAATAATTCGCAAAATGAAGAATAAATCGTTAAATTGTTCTTTCTGAATGTCAATCTTTTTGAGAAATATATATTACTAATAGTATAATAACTAATATTAATTGTTATTTGCCCTAATATTGATTATTTGTTTTACTACTCTTGGTATTATTGTTATTATTATTATTATTATTATTATTATTATTATTATTATTATTATTATTATTATTATTATTATTATTGTTATTATTATTGTTGAACAAATCTACAGGAGCCGTGAAGAGGGTTCGAACCTATGCCTTGGGTGTTCCCAGACATGCTCTAGTTTACTGCGCCACGACATGATCAAAAGAACTGCAACCTGGGGTACTACTGCACCCCTCAAGGATCCCGAGGCTTCCACTGAAGCCGAACCGGGTTCAGTATTGAAAAAGGGGCATCAGAGCTAGAGCTACTGGACGACACAGCCCGAGTGCATGGGGGGAATTTTGTGAAATCCCGGATAAGATTCAGTAGAAGCCTCGGGATCCTGTACCCCCAGGTTGCAATTCTTTTGACTATGTCGTGGCGGAGTTCACTAGAGCGTATCTGGGAAAACCCAGCGCATAGATTCGAACCCTCATCACGGCACCTTTGGATTTGTTCATTGAGATATCACGATAATGTGATTTTTCTCTGTGTATTATTATTATTATTATTTTATTGTTTATTTCTTGTATTATTACTATTAATAACAATGACATTAATAGCAAGTAAGAAACATCACTCAATACACTTACCATTTTTCTCTCTGGTTATCTGCCTAACTCTCTCTCTCTCTCTCTCTCTCTCTCTCTCTCTCTCTCTCTCTCTCTCTCTCTCTCTCTCTCTCTCTCTCTCTCTCTCTCTCTCTCTCCCCCCTCCCTTCGCATCTCTCAACCTCTCCTTCCCTCCAGGTGGGATCACCTACCAGTGGGGTCGAGGCCGGAGAAGACAGCAATAGGGAGGGTGGTGAAGAGCGCGAGCCCCCACACCAGAGCAATGATGACCTTGGCCTGCAGGCGGGTCATACGAGGCCGCAGGGGGTAGATGATGGCCAGGTAGCGGTCCAGGCTGATGGCCACCAGCGTGTAGGCCGAGACGAAGATTGAGATGGCCTGGGAGATAGGAAAACAAAGTGGTACCGTAGTTAGGTAAATTGATATATGAGAGCCTTAGAGTAGGTGCTGTAAATGACACTATGGATGTAGCAAAAGAGATCTGGAATTAAAGAGATTGGAGTTGTTTGGTTTTTGGTGTGGAATTAAAGATTTATTAGGACTAATACATGACATAAACTTAGTATCTCTATGGCTAGTGTATAATATCAGCAGCATCTTCAACAGGTTCGCCTTGCCCACAGGGACAGCAGTTCATACGCAAGGAAAAATAGATTTAATAAAAGGTTTTTATGTGAGGTGGACTTCACTATAGGGCTAGAAGGATTGTCCTCACCCTAAAACAAAAGGAGTGGGCCTTATTCCTAGATCCAGAGTGACAGGTCTCACCCTTAGATCCAGAGGGGGTGGTCCTCACCCTTCTAGTAGGCACTAGTTTCACCCAATTTAAACACAACTTCCAGCGAATTACTTTAGGACACCAATTCCAGCACGAAATCCAATATGTCTCCCTGGGAGGTTCCAATCCCAGAGTAATTCTGAGGCAGTTGCAGTCCATACCAAGTGACTCATCTGAGGGTTCGCCAAGTTCTCCAATTGTGGCAACAGTTTCTGGAACTTGTCTCAAGATAGATTTTTATCTTCCCGCTCATGGATAGCTACATCCGCCCCACTCACACAACGGTTTGGTATCGAAAGTTTATTTTAATTGCTGGTAAATAACTTATTGTTATTAATACATTCCTCTAAGTGCATTTCAGGATCATGAGGTCATGATAATTGTTCAAGTTACTATGTAGGGTCTACGGTTCAGGTGAGGGGATATAAACACCAAGCGAACAATTCATAAGCATAAATTTCTATTAGATTATTTGTTTATTTTTAAAAAAAGCAAAGCGGAGTTATTTTTTGTTTACTGCTCTGATGGTGTGAGTCCAGTCATTAATGAGAAGTCAAGAGTAGACAGGTGAGAAACTTCATCTATTAAGATGAAGTTTCTCACCTGTCTACTCTTGACTTCTCATTAATGACTGGACTCACACCATCAGAGCAGTAAACAAAAAATAACTCCGCTTTGCTTCTTTTAAAAATAAACAAATAATCTAATAGAAATTTTCATCAGGATTACTGATAAAAAATCTTCAAGTTATTGGCAATATTTCGCTACGGAAAGTTTTCGGGCACTTCCGAGAAATGTTTAAGGAAAATTTCAAAGTTTTATCTTATAGTTTGTAAGATATTCACAGCAAAAATGGTGCCCCTAATATGAATTTTAAAGTTAAAAGGAGCAAGAGTAATATAATCCCGGTCGATGCTGCATGAAAATGTTTTGCAAGAGTCAATAGCAACTCTCTACTCTCAGTCAACTGCTACTAACTACTAGCAACTTTTTTATAATTTTTTTCACACTCACCCACACCCAGGAAGTAGCTCGTAAGAGCTGTCTAACTCCCAGGTACCTATTTACTGCTAGGTAACAGGGACATCAAGGTGAAAGAAACTGTCCCATTTTGTTTGTTTCTCGCCGTGTGTGTGTGTGTGTGTGTGTGTGTGTGTGTGTGTGTGTGTGTGTGTGTGTGTGTGTGTGTGTATCACACTGTCAATACTGTCACTTAATGGCAGTATTGAGTGCCGTGTGCGAAGCAATTATGGAGTACACAGAGAGTATCTTTGTAAGACATAATTGGGGCAACAACAGACGTGACGGTGTCTCCACATAGTGTACTCTCGTCTTAGTGTTTCTCCCGGGTCAACACCTCGGGATATCTTCGGCCAAACTTACTTGACTCGCTCACCAATATATTTAAAATTATCGTTGATAATTTTAACGTCGTTAATTTATATATATATATATATTTCTTTGCTCATTTATTCGTCATTTATTTTGGAATTAGTGATAAAAAAAGATCAAGATGCAAAAATGATGAGTTAAGGTTTAAGAAGGTAAAGGGAGAAAGATGGGCGATGGGGCAAAAAGGATGTTGGGGCAAGAACTGGGATGTGGGGTAAGAAGGGTGATGGGACAGTAAGGAGGAAAGAACAGGAAGGGTGAAGAGGTAGGGCCGATGAAGAAAAGGTAGGGTAGGTAACCTACCTCTTGAAGAGGTGGAGAGTGAAGAGAGTGAACAATTAGGGGACAGGAAGATGAAAAAGGCAGAAAGGGAAATGGGCAGACAGGGCGTAAAGTTAGAAAGGGATCACGGACTAGTGATCAGAGAGCTCGGCCTTGTATTATCCCGGTCCGAGATTGAATCCCCGATGATCCAAGTGAAGAAGATGCTACATCCTTACCTAAGAAAACACAGCAATATGTAACCAAATTTGTTATTTTACTGTTCAGGAGGGAAGAGAGCGACGTATTAATAACCAATTACATCAAAGTATTTGAAAAAAAAAAACACATAAGAAACCTTGTATTCCTCTGGCTACAAATAGAATTAGAAGGACACATGTAAGCAGGTAAAAGCAAGACACTAGAATACCTACAAGTGATATGTGATAAAATATTTACTCTTAAATCCCTCTGTGTACTCTAGAATCGCTCCAGAGAATGTAGTTGTGCCAATGTAAGGAATCAAAAAAACTTTAAGACAAATTCGAGTGATGTGCAAAAGAAAACGGGCTTCTAAGAACTTTCACTGTAAAACATTAGATAGCCACCTATAGTGAAGGGGAAGGGAACTATCAGGAGAAAGAGCTAAGCCTTCACGACAACATTGCACTTGGAAGGAATTAGGAGAAGGATTTGGGATAAGACGGGGTTGGGAAGGAATAGTGCCTAACCACTTGGATTGTCGGCATGAAGCGAAACCATCGGTCTACCGTCTAGCAAAAGTGGAAGGGATTCACATATAGGGAAGCACACGGTCACAAACATTTTAACGAATCTCACAAAAAGTATAACTTGAGATTCAATTAAATGAAACCCGATAAGACTATACCCATAGTTCTGTTGTTAAGTCATTTGAAAACTCTCGTTAATTACTCAGGTGCGTGGAGATAAGAAGACATTTTCCTTGCGGTGTCGTAATAGAGACCGAGCCAGTGTTCTCGCAGCCTTTCCTCGTTGCTCACTCCAACCAATTGGGCTGGACGGTTGAGCGACAGTCTCGCTTCATGCAGGTCGGTGTTCAATCCCCGACCGTCCAAGTGGTCGGGGATATCTCACCATTTCTTCCACCCGTCCCATCTCTGGCACTTTCCCCTGATAATTCCTTCCCTCCTCGTTGCTCAGCTTGCCAAGTTAGGTGTCCCATTTTGAAACAAATCTTTGAAGATTTTCCTAATTTACTATCGTCTTTTATTAAATAGGGAATTACACCTGTTGCCATCATATTCAAGTAGAGGACTAACATAGGTGTTAGGCATAACAAACCTTTGCATAAGTGTTTAGCAATGCTTGTTATGTGTTCTATATCATGAACATTGCCACAAATCTTAATTTATTTGCCACTCAATCTTACAACTGCTCAATCTTTTTGCTTCTAAATTTCTGACAAACCCGGATGATAATTGATTATCTCCTGACGAATGTGAAAATCTTGTACGTTCCCACTGGTCAGGTGGGACTTAAAGGTTCATATATAAAATGCTAACCACCATTACATGGTGCTTCTCTTATAGTAACCAGCCTGAAGCCATCATCACCGCCACTCTTCTGGCCAAAAAGGTGTCCAGCAGCTGGACACCCTCATAAATACTGTCCAGCAGTATCCTCCCCCTTGATAGAGGCCGCGTAGTTAGGACCGACGGTTAAATGCGAGCTCAGTACACAATATATCCTTTTACGACCAAAGATCACATTCACTCCAAAAAATCTACCACTTACGGATTATTCATGTCCGTGCCACCTCTAGGACGGCTTAATAAAAAAATAGGGCTCAGTAATTTAAAGAAGGAGTTTGAGTGAGAATAAATCTAAGCGTTTTCTGCTGGGGCCAAAGATCTTCAGGAGAAATATAAGGAAAATATAGCAGAAGAGACACAATATCTGTTATCCCGAGATCATGACGAAATACATAATTATCTCATCAAGAACACCTGCTGTGTTTGGCATGGCGACAACTTCGTTCAATGTCACCTTCCCGGCAAATTAATTAATCATCAGTGTGGCGAACACGTGCAGGTGAGCAGCCGTCTGCCTCACATCCTCACTTTGATACGTTACTCGTCCGAGGCTGGAGAGTTCCCTTACAGGAGCCTTCGATGCATAAGTATCTTGATGCATTTATTAACAGAAACAAATAGGTTTTAGTGTTTGGGCTTCTGATTCCTCCCTATTAGATAAGATGTGTTCATGTGGGTGGTTTCAGTACCTGTTTCTAATTGTAGTTTTCTCTTGACTTTGAAGTGTCTCTCTTGACTTATTTACAATCTGTCTGTCAATTTTCGAAAGTTAGCCCTTTCCTCTCTTTCCTTCGAAATCTCTCTCTCTCTCTCTCTCTCTCTCTCTCTCTCTCTCTCTCTCTCTCTCTCTCTCTCTCTCTCTCTCTCTCTCTCTCTCTCTCTCTCTCTCTCTCTCTCTCTCTCTCTCTCTCTCTCTCTCTCTCTCTCTCTCTCTCTCTCTCGCTCTCTCTCGTTCGAACGGTCATCAATGCATCATTGTTGTCTCAGCTTTATTATTCTAGCTATACGTACTGGTCTTACTGTTCCTGGCTGCTGTTGTTTTTCTCATTCCAGAAGGAGGAGATAGCACTCATGTTAAATAAAACAAAATTAAATACATAGGGGAAAGATACAGATAGATAAAGATGGAAACTCTCCTAGGAACACAACCAGTTCCCACTCTCACCCACACACCTGTCATCCCAATACACCTATGCATCCACTCACAAACCTGTCATTCCAACACATACCTTCACATCCACTCACAAACCTGTCATTCCAACACATACCTTCACATCCACCACTATACCTGCCATCCCAACCACATACATACGCATCTACTCCACACACCTCTCATCCCAATCACACACCTACGCATTCACCCCACACACCTGTCATTCCAACAACACATTGACGCGTCCATCCACACACCTTCGTACTCCATAAATTTATAACACGCTCTCATTCCTCCACATATCCAATCAGACACCACACACATCCTCCCACATGCCCAACCACTACCGCAAACGCCAAATTCACATTCTCACACCCCCCACTCACCCCGACACACCCATACAACCCTACACACCCATGCACCCCACGACACCAGCAATGCACCGGAACATCGACATATTAAACAAACAATAATTAACCCATTGTCCCCACCGATTCACTGCCCCTTGGACATGGTTGAAAAAAAGAATGGTTTTCACTTTCAAATTTCAGCTGTTCAACTTAGTACTCAACAAGTATGTCAATAAGGGTGATCAAACGCGGAATGAATTTTACATGTAATTATTAATGCATTAGTTAAATATTTATTTCTAATGTTGTAGTTTGTAGATACGGTGGATGCTGCCATTTAAATTAATGACGGAATCAATGAATTCTGTTTTGGATTAGTTGAAATGCTCTCGGTAATGTTTGATGCGGGTTAGTGGCTTCCATTAGAGTTTTTTTTGTTGTTGTGTGTGTGTGTGTGAGTGTGTGTGTGTGTGTGTGCGTGTGTGTGCGTGTGTGTGTACTCGCCAAGATGTACTTCCATGAACTTGCAGTATTGAACGTTCGCCTTAGAACTAAGCCATTCGAAGCCTTAGTCGTATTTATATGTGTATGTCTCTTCTGCATCATGTATTAATACAACACCCTGCTCCCCCCAAAAAATAGTAAACATAATAATTAAACGCTTCTTCGGTACGTTTCATGCAATTGAAGAAAACCTAGATAGTTTAGAATTACAATTGCGTTCATCTTATTCCAATATTCCTCAGTCATCTCTGTCTCTGTCTGTCTGTCTGTCTGTCTCTCTCTCTCTCTCTGAACACCCACCTGAGAGTAGTTGACAATGATGCAGAGTCCCTCACCGAAGGGCCAGTACTGGAGCACGATGATGGAGGCTACGGAGAAGGGGACACAGAACACCATGCTGAGGAGATCCCCGACCGCCAGGTTGGCGATAAAGAGGTTGGTTACGGTGTGCATCTTGCGGTTGGAAGCGACGGTGTAGAGGACGAGAGAGTTGCCCAGGAGAGCTAACAGGAAGATAGAGGCGTACACGAGGTATATGAGCGGCATGTAGGCGTAGTCGGAGGGGACACATACACCGGAATAGAAGAGGACGTCCAGCTCCTCCTGGGAGATGTTGCAGTACTCGCAGTGGGTGTACTCCGGCAGCAGGAGTCTCTCGTTCAGCCACAGCTCGGTCTCATTGGGTCGGTACAGAAGACTCAGAATCTCTTCGTCGCATCGCTTAAGGATTTCCTCGACACTGTTAGGTTTTCTGTTAAGGGTGAAGGACTCCAGGTGCAGAGTGGTGGTCCCTTCCCCAACGACAGACGAATTCGCTTCCATACTGAAGTTAACAGAGATAAACTTTGCCTGTCTGACATAATCTACAAGCATAGTTTGTTGGTGTCTATAGCACAGAATGCCTGAGCGGATTTTGGCTTTCGTTTATTTCTGGTATACATCCTTTCGTGTTTTGTCGTGCTCGTTCGTAGGAGCCCAAGAGTGAGAGGGATATCATCGAAAAACTATTTAAGTTGTACCTACACTACTAATTTCATGAACAACGTTGAGGTTATCTTAACTTTTAATATTAACTTAAACTGCTGATTCCAAGAAGAAATTTCTTCTTTGCCTTTACGGTGAGTTTCTTTTTTTTGGGGGGGAAGCTATTTTTAGACTTTTTCTCGTCAGTATAGTGCGTAGACTGTTTTCTTTATTGTGTTGCATAAACTCTGTCTATTCTCGTTGATTAACAGTCTTAGACATCCTCTGGAAAGACAAATAAATTTATTAGTTTATTACGGGTATTTAATGATTAGGACATTTGTTGCTCATTAATAAAGAGTTTCAACTTAACGTTTTCACTTAATTTATTTACCCAAATTTACTTCACTTCTCTTCCTCGATCTGCCTCATACACCGCTGCAACAGACCTTCCTCTACCTTCTCCTTCCCACTTAACACTCTCACCAATGTCCCTCACTCACCTCTCTCCCTCACATCTCTTCCTTACCGTGCTTCCTCAACCTTCTCTCACTCCTCTCCTTTGTCATACTTCCTCACACTTATCCATCACCGTTACCCCTCACCTTTCTACGTCACCCCGCTCCCTCAGACCTGTTACTCACTTTTCTTCCTCAGAACACCTCCTAATCATTCTTTCTCACCTTTCTCCCTCACTCCTATCTACAATCACTCTCTCTCACTCTCCCCTCTGCTTCACCCTCCCTTTCACTCCTTTTTATCTATTTATTTATATACAAGAAGGTACATTGGGTTAGAGAGAATACATAGCATAGTATTTACTATCTTGTAAAGCCACTAGTACGCGCAGCGTTTCAGGCAGGTCCTTAATCTAACAGATAATTTTAAGTACGTAAATTCTAGCAGAATTCTAGCTTTTTCTGGTACCTGTCAGCATCTTCTAAATACCGGACAAGGAAGAAAAGGAAGAGTAGGAGGAGGAGGAGATAAATAGTTTCCCTGTAAACCTCATTCAAGAAATGTTTGATAATGCTTTATAACACAAAAATATACGTGTTCTGAACAAACAAAAGCTAAATAATGTAATTGTTCTCCATTTCACTGAACACAAAAGATTACATATTCTCCACTTCAAAAAACACAAAAAGATACATGTTCTTCACTTCACAAAACACAAAAACTTGACATCAACTTGAGAAATATATTTGTTCTCAATTTAAGAAAACACAAAAAGATATTTGACATCAACTTGAAAAATATATTTGTTCTCAATTTCAAATAACGATACATATTCTCCACCATAAAAACGTGAACGATGATGGTTTTCCTTTTTATGAAACAAAAGGATAATTGTTCGCATAAAAATGCAAAAAGATACTTGATATCTTAATAAAATGCAAAAAGATACTTGATATCTTAATAAAATGCAAAAAGATACTTGATATCTTAATAAAATACGAAAAACACATATTCTCTATGTAAGAACATAAAAACAGAAGAATTAAGGAAATTACAGGTCTATTGACCTATTCGAAGCAGTTCCTTTATATAAATATATCCACTCAAACTCATTCATATATATATTTAACCGACGCTTGAAAAAATAATCATTTTATCTCACGTCAATTATGTTACCCAGTAATTAGTTTTTCAAATTATTTTTTTTCTTGAAATATTTAATACGTTAATTTCTCCTTTAGTAATAACCTTTTATCCATTCATATTCTTCTGTCATGTTATTCCTAACTCTTCGACTTTCTAGAGAATGTCAATTGAATTTTTTAACTTCTTCGTGCAAAAGGTTTCGAATTCCTGGGAGTTCCCTTGTCATCCTTCTCTGAACTCGTGAAAGTGTAGTCATGTGAATTTTATAGTTTGGCGACCAAAACTGAACTTATAATCTAACTGAGACCCACTAGGGGAAGACAATGCATGAAAAAATTATATGTATGATTGCTAACACTTCTAAAAAATAAATTGCAGTGTCTTTTTGCCTAATTTCGAAAAAGAGAAATTCATATATTCATATTTGAATTATTCTGAATTCATTGACTTTTTGGCTTTTGATCCATATAACTCAAGACTCTCATATCTTTTTCAAATTCAGACTGTAATTTCAGAACTATCCATCAGATATCTGAAAACTTCTATCATCAGTGCCAAGCTTCAGAACCCATTGTTTTTAAACCACATTTGCCATTCTTTAGGCAACTTCTATTCAGATTTAAAAAGTTTATCATCATCGTCTAGAAGCAATCTACATTGCTTTTTTCGGAATTAATTTATCGCTGATTATATGTATTATCCCCCAATTTCCAAATATTGCTGTTCAATACCGTATATATATATATATACACACACACACACACACACACACACACACACACACACACACACACACACACACACACACACACACACACACACACACACACACACACACACACACACACACATATATATATATATATATATATATATATATATATATATATATATATATATATATATATATATATATATATATATATGTCGTACCTAATAGCCAGAACGCACTTCTCAGCCTACTATTCAAGGCCCGATTTGCCTAATAAGCCAAGTTTTCATGAATTAATGTTTTTTCGTCTACCTAACCTACCTAACCTAACCTAACCTAGCTTTTTTTGGCTACCTAACCTAACCTTACCTATAAATATAGGTTAGGTTAGGTTAGGTAGGGTTGGTTAGGTTCGGGCACATATCTACGTTAATTTTAACTCCAATAAAAAAAAATTGACCTCATACATAGAGAAAATGGTTGCTTTATCATTTCATAAGAAAAAAATTATAGTAAATATATTAATTCAGGAAAACTTGGCTTATTAGGCAAATCGGGCCTTGAATAGTAGGCTGAGAAGTGAGTTCTGGCTACTAGGTACGACATATATATATATATATATATATATATATATATATATATATATATATATATATATATATATATATGTCGTACCTAGTAGCCAGAACGCACTTCTCAGCCTACTATGCAAGGCCTTATTTGCCTAATAAGCTAAGTTTTCCTGAATTAATATATTTTCTCTAATTTTTTTCTTATGAAATGATAAAGCTACCCATTTCATTATGTATGAGGTCAATTTTATTTTTTTGGAGTTAAAATTAACGTAGATATATGACCGAACCTAACCAACCCTACCTAACCTAACCTAACCTATCTTTACAGGTTAGGTTAGGTTAGGTAGCTGATAACGTTAGATTAGGTTAGGTTAGGTAGGTTAGGTAATCGAAAAGACATTACTTCATGAAAACTGCTTATTAGGCAAATTGGGCCTTGCATAGTAGGCTGAGAAGTGCGTTCTGGCTACTAGGTACGACATATATATATATATATATATATATATATATATATATATATATATATATATATATATATATATATATATATATATATATATATATATATATATATATATATATATATATATATATATATATATATATATATATATATATATATATATATATATATATATTAGGCCAAAAAGTGCGTTCTGGCTACTAGGTACGACATATATATATATATATATATATATATATATATATATATATATATCTGAAAACTCACACCCCAGAAGTGACTCGAACCCATACTCCCAGAAGCCACGCAACTGGTATGTACAAGACGCCTTAATCCACTTGACCATCACGACCGGACATAATGAGGTGATAGCCGAGGCTATATGAACCACCCCACCGCCGGCACTCGGATAGTTATCTTGGGCATAGCATTTTACCAAATCACCTCATTCTTTGGGGCACACGTGAGGAACACAAATGCGAACAAGCCTGAATGGTCCCCAGGACATATGCAACTGAAAACTCACACCCCAGAAGTGACTCGAACCCATACTCCCAGAAGCCAGGCAACTGGTATGTACAAGACGCCTTAATCCACTTGACCATCACGACCGGACATAATGAGGTGATAGCCGAGGCTATATGAACCACCCCACCGCCGGCACTCGGATAGTTATCTTGGGCATAGCATTTTACCAAATCACCTCATTCTTTGGGGCACACGTGAGGAACACAAATGCGAACAAGCCTGAATGGTCCCCAGGACATATGCAACTGAAAACTCACACCCCAGAAGTGACTCGAACCCATACTCCCAGAAGCCACGCAACTGGTATGTACAAGACGCCTTAATCCACTTGACCATCACGACCGGACATAATGAGGTGATAGCCGAGGCTATATGAACCACCCCACCGCCGGCACTCGGATAGTTATCTTGGGCATAGCATTTTACCAAATCACCTCATTCTTTGGGGCACACGTGAGGAACACAAATGCGAACAAGCCTGAATGGTCCCCAGGACATATGCAACTGAAAACTCACACCCCAGAAGTGACTCGAACCCATACTCCCAGAAGCCACGCAACTGGTATGTACAAGACGCCTTAATCCACTTGACCATCACGACCGGACATAATGAGGTGATAGCCGAGGCTATATGAACCACCCCACCGCCGGCACTCGGATAGTTATCTTGGGCATAGCATTTTACCAAATCACCTCATTCTTTGGGGCACACGTGAGGAACACAAATGCGAACAAGCCTGAATGGTCCCCAGGACATATGCAACTGAAAACTCACACCCCAGAAGTGACTCGAACCCATACTCCCAGAAGCCACGCAACTGGTATGTACAAGACGCCTTAATCCACTTGACCATCACGACCGGACATAATGAGGTGATAGCCGAGGCTATATGAACCACCCCACCGCCGGCACTCGGATAGTTATCTTGGGCATAGCATTTTACCAAATCACCTCATTCTTTGGGGCACACGTGAGGAACACAAATGCGAACAAGCCTGAATGGTCCCCAGGACATATGCAACTGAAAACTCACACCCCAGAAGTGACTCGAACCCATACTCCCAGAAGCCACGCAACTGGTATGTACAAGACGCCTTAATCCACTTGACCATCACGACCGGACATAATGAGGTGATAGCCGAGGCTATATGAACCACCCCACCGCCGGCACTCGGATAGTTATCTTGGGCATAGCATTTTACCAAATCACCTCATTCTTTGGGGCACACGTGAGGAACACAAATGCGAACAAGCCTGAATGGTCCCCAGGACATATGCAACTGAAAACTCACACCCCAGAAGTGACTCGAACCCATACTCCCAGAAGCCACGCAACTGGTATGTACAAGACGCCTTAATCCACTTGACCATCACGACCGGACATAATGAGGTGATAGCCGAGGCTATATGAACCACCCCACCGC